AGTATGTGTGTTTGTGTATATATACTCTGAAAATTATTCAAAATGATTTGGGGTATCAAGCAAGTTTCTACACCACTTTTCAAAGTGGCCCTACTTTTTTCAAGTATCCTGAGGGTGTTGCAACACTGCTTGTAAAGAAGAAAACAAGCAAGCTTGTTATATATATGCAGGTCTAGTAGACACAGATTAGCAATTTGAGCATGTGTGAATGCTAGGCACCCTGTATAATCTTTTGACAGAGCTTTTGCCTACATTCACCTGTTCTAGATTAATCTTTTACTAATCTAGATACCAAAATCATCTTTTGGCCTTAGGAATAATTCAGAGATCAAGATGGTAAAGGTGAGATCCGGGAAAACAAGTGCCCAGGATGTCTGGCCTTGCAGCTCAAAAAACAAGTGCATCTCATTACTCTGCGAGGAATAAAACCAAGGTACAGGATAAGGATTTTGACTATCGTGGAACTGTTCACATGTCTTTAAATTTGAATTTAGGAAGTTTAAAAACGTGATCAAGTGACTAAGTTTTACTTCAGCTAGATGTACGGTCCCACATCCAACCGTCGGAGGCTCGTGCACCCTGCAGACCATCGCTGCCACCCTCTGTGGTCTGTGGAAGTGGGGTGGCAGGCAGTCCCCTGAATGGGACTAAGGGACCCATAAAGTCAGATCCATGTGTGGTTTTTCAAAATGGCCTGATAATTCAGGGCATTTGTGCGATTTGATTAAACTTAGAATATTGCCGTTGCACAAGGAGGAAATGGTGAGCATCCTGCTGACGGTACAGGAAGCAGAACCCTTGGCCTGACGTGTTCCGCACAATTGCTCAACTTAATCTAGAAGAAATTATGGGGGTAAACCTCTATCTCCCCAAGCAAACACTGCAGCAGTTATCTGAGAAAGGAAAATCCAGCCACTGGCACTGATTACAGCCGATTACAACTTAAGCAAGACGTTCTTATAATTCTGCTGATTAATGGCAGGGTGGAGCCCCAGGACGGAAGTCTGTTGGTGATCCATCAATCGCTCTTGTCACCTGAAGCAAGTGCACCTGCAAACGGGATATCTGTGGAACAAGAGGCAGCTGGTTGTCTCTTACGTTTCAGTGCCCCACTGACCTGGGAGGAGCTTGTGCAGCAGGTCAGGCTGAGCATCTGGACCTCTGTAATCAGCCCTGCTCGCAGCTCACAGGGGCTGGTCTACCAGGGAAGGCTGGCTAGCCCAAAGGTTTTCATCAGTCCTGGGGTGATTTTGTGCACCATCCCCATCCCTCTTTAAAAGCCCTGTAATGGTTGGTGCCCAGGTGAAAAAGGCTCTGTGTGTTCCCAGATCAGAGCAGGTCCTGCTCTGTATTCCACCACACTTGGCCCTCAACAGTTGGGCTCTCTCTTTGTTCTAGCAGCCCTATATTTGGAAGAGATATCGCCCTACCTACCTAAATGAAAAAAATGTCTCTTAAATTTAAAGAATATGCCTTGGTTTAAAAATGGATCAATTGTAGTTTGGGTTTGGGTTTTTTTTTTTCTTTTATGGTAGATGACACCAGAGCTGTGTCCCTGAAAAAGTGAAGGAAGTCCCTTAAGAGATCTCCTGCTAAAGATCACCACCATCACCCTCTAAATTGTGGTTGCCAGACACAACCAGGGGAGTTCCCGCAAGGCTCTTCAGGGCCTACAAAAACGGATCTGAGACAGGAACTCTTCTCCATCCTACAGGCTTTGAATGCCTCCAGGGATATTCCTGAAGGAGATGTGTATGTATGGGACAAGGGTGGTGTTTCCAGAAAAATCACTATTCCCCCCCCCCAATATTGTAACACTTTCTTGAAAGTCTGTACCTAAACACAACAATCAGGTTTTTAAAAAAAAAAATTCCATCTCCTCCTCAGTGATGTGATTTGCCACTTTGAAAACTGTTCCATCTATGCTGCTATTTGTCTTAAAAACTTCTCTGACCCTTTCAGTCTGGAGGCTGGAAAAGCTTATAGTATTTAGGTGGGGCTATAATATTGGCTAATTAAATGTCCTCCCTGATTTGCTGGCTTTAGCCTGGTCATCTGGCTATTGGTGTTTCTGCTGTATCTTAGGCAACATTCAATCTAGTTTGGCCTTTGCTTATGGGAAGAAGAATCTTATGGGCTTTTAATATAATGATATTATCAGACAGAGTTGCAATTACTTCAGAATAACTTCATGGATTCTGCACACGAGCCCTGAGTATTTTGGAGTTTGGAAGGCCCCGCACATCTCCCCCAGGGCTGAGAAATGCTTGATGGCTCCCTTCCATTTCCTGCATTCATCTGGGAGCAGTTATGGCTTGAAGACTGAGGACATCTTCTGAAAGGTCCTTTGGTTTTTCAATCCAAGATAAAATTCATAGGAACACTCTTGGACTGAAAAGCTGAGATGAGGAAGGAGTCACTTACTGCAAGGCCCTCTCCTGACAACCACATTGTCCACAGCTGTGTCACCATATTCTGTCAATCCTCGAATGGCATCAAAAGCCACCTATGAAGAGTTAAAACAAGTCCAGTCAGAGCAAGGAAGCAGCTGGGTCTGCAAGGAGCAAAGGGAGGAGCCCCTGTGGAGGAGCCAGAAGGAAGGAGCCACTATCTTCTTCCAGATGAGGCCAAACTGCACTTCCCATCATCCCAGTCCTAGACAGGGAAAGGCTGCCATGAGGAGAGTGTGAGAACCTCAGAGTAACTGAAGTTTTTTCTTTAACCTCATAGCCAGAGATGGATGTCCTAGTTAATGACTGTTATCTGTCCTTTCTAGCTCATTGATTTTGGTTAGTGTATGAATTATGCTTGTTTCTCTTGTATTTTCTCTTGTTCCCCTGGAGAAAGTGAAGAATTCCACACACACACCCACTTTAAAATGCTACAACCCAGGTGTCACCCAATAATTCTGAATAGACTTTTGGGGAAAGGGAATTTTCATGCAGCATTTTAAGATGGTCCTCAGCTTGGGTGGCTTTAAAGGAGGGCTAGTCTGGCTCTGACTGGAGGCGAAGGTTGTCAGCAGCTACCAGCCTCAAGGGCTGTAACTGCTGCCAGAGCTGCCAGGCTCGGACTGCCAGCTGCTAGGAGGGGCCACTGCCCTCAACTGCCGAGGGGGGCTCAGCCTCATGGGGGCCTCTTAGTGGCCGTTCGGGGAGCAGGACAGAAGGTGCAGTGAAACTTTGGTCCAACCTAGCAGTTTCCTTCCATACTGTAAGAGCTGCCAAGCTGTTACCTTGAGGCGACTCTCCTTTGTGAAGTAGACCGCGGTGAGCCCATGCTGCCACTCGGGGCTCTGGCTGCCCGTCCGGCTCCATACCACAGACTCGCCCTCTTCCCCCAAGAGGGTCACGTGCAGCTCGTTGAAGTCCTCGGAGCCAAACATGTGATACCAGAAGTCGACGCACACTTCTCCAGAGACCACCAGCTGGGGGCTCTCAAGCCTGTTGAGGTCGTAGGGAATCAAGTTGCTGGCTTCTTGGTAGATGAAGTATCCTCCTGCAAGGAGAAGGGAAGATGCCCGGAGCAGTTTGTTGGAACAGAGAGCAAGACTGTGTGGCTGCTTCGGCAGTGCCCGCAAGAGAGGGAAGGGGTGACCAGGTGAGATCATGAAGCCCCGATCAGCTTCATGCAGCGTGCTTAGTCCAAACCACGCAAATCATGTGAGAGCTTCGTGCGATAGGTAGACAAAGCCTAACCGTTGGGAGGTGACAATGTCAGAGCAACCTCGTTCAGATCTGAGCAGAGTCAACAAGTTCTGCAGCAGGCCTGAATCAAGATAGGGGCCCGTTGATCCCATGCGACCCCATGCGAGGGGGCTGTTGTTCTTCCGGAAGCAGGGCCTTCCTAAGTCCTCATGAAAGAGAAGGCCGGGAGTCTTCGCAGATTCCAGATGCCTCTGCAGGGCCAACTTAAAGTGACGCTCCCCCAAAAGACCCTGGTCCTTGAAGGCCCCGTTTGCACCATCCCCTCGTTTTAGGCACCCATAGAGAAAGCGGCCATGGGGAGGCTCCACACAACACACTGAACCACAGACTAGCCTTGTGTGTTTCAGCCTAGAGCGTTGTGTAGACCCGTCCATGTTGGTCATTTAAGATTCAGGGTGTCGTGCAGCCTCAGACAGCTGGGTTAATAGAATCAATTCTGCTTAGACTGAGCGTGAGCATCTGTCGAGGAAAAACAATGCCCGGTGTCTGCCTACGTGTGTCCCCCCCTTTCTAGGCAGGGGTGGTGCTGTGCAGTCAGGAAAAAAGGAGAGAGGAGCATCCAATGGGACGGGCGAACCATGCTTGGCCGCCGGGGAGTGCAGGCTTCCCCGTTCATCGCGAGGGCACCAGGGCTGCTCCGCACGAGGAACAGGGCAAGCCGGCAGCTGTGGCCCCTGGGAAGGACCATGGCTCCCAGGGCCTCCTGACTGACAAGAGGGAAAGGGGGGTGGCGGAGAGTTTGCAGTGGCATCTCCTTTCTGCCTTCACCCCAGCTCTTCCGGGCTGATTCTGTTGGCTCCTCTTGTCAGGGCTGGAGAGATGGAAGCCGTGCTGGGGAAGAGGCGCCTTCATAAACCAGGCAGTGGCTTGGCTTTGAGGCAGAGGAGCATCTCTTTTCAATGCGAATCCACCAAGGATGGGGAGATCTCAGGCCCTTATTTTGCTTCTGGGCTCCATATCCCATCATCCCTGGCCAAGGACCTAATGGCCAGGGTCTAAGGGCAGCTGGAATCCAGCCAGCTGGGCAGGGGAGGGCGCATAAACACAGTGGCCTGTGAGAAAGGGATCAAGGGCCAGTGAGAACAGGGAGGGGAGGGCAGGGCAGGGCAGGG